CATGTGCATGCGCGTTATTTCGAAAATCAGGTTTGGCAAAAATTTAATATTGTTTCAAAATAACGCCCATGCGCGTACTCGAATTAACGCGCAGGGACTCAAAATAACGCGCATATGGGCGTTATTTCGCGAAAATACGGTAATTTATTATTAACTATGCTAATGACTTACAAGATACGAATTTCACCAACATACCTGAATGTTGGAGTCCAACAACTTGTAATTGTCGAACCTTTTCTTCATTAAAGTTTATTGCTTGAGCTAAACATGCGAGCATATTGTGTATTGACTTTCCGAGCTTAAAACCATCTTTACACTGTTCAAGTGAATTAATTTGAGTAAAAGGGCTTTGCACCTCTATTGCACCGTACTCTATGCCATCATAAGTCTTAAATATTCCATCAAGTTTTCGTCCTATTTTGACCCTTTCCTTTAACCTTCTCTTACGATTCTTTCTTTTTGCTACGGAAATACTGTGCGGATCTTTTCTATGAATACCAAAATTTATATTATAATTTCAATTTTGAAGTCATTATTATAGCAGTTAAAAGATTATTACCTGCTTATTTCTAGGCCTTTGACATTATTAAAAGCAAAATCGATCACCACTGACCAAATGTTTGCATCGTACCAACCTTCTAAATGTTTCATTTGAAGTGGCTGATCTGAGTTTTCATAATATATAAGCCTATAATGTATACATGTTACGTATAAGAATTTTAAAAATATTTACAAGTGTAATAATAATTATAATAATAATACCTACAGATGCCTCATTACATGTTCAATCCATTCAGCATCAAAGTGCTTTTCTTGTTCGAATGGTTCATTTTTATCCTTATAAGAAGTGGTGTCTAATACTGTTCTTAGATCAGCAGTTTCCCTAATCTTAAATTTGGTAAAATAAAATAATTTGCCATTAATAAAGATTATAATCAAACAAAACTAAGTCAAATGATTTATCAATCTATATTACAGTACAGCGCGGACCCTAGCACCTGGAGTCATACTTGCTGGCAAAACCTGGACAAATAATCTCAACCCCCAAAAAATAATTGCTATTTATAAAAAATTAAATCAAACAAATAATCTTGAAATATATTGTTTATAACTATAAAAACATACTTGATTTATTTAAACAAGAATTATTAATAAAATTTTTGAGCTATAAGTTTGGCCAGACCTTTTGGGTTTGTCCACTTTAAGTAACTCAATGTGGACAAACTTAAAGGTCTGGCCAAACTTATAGCTCAGAAATTTTATTAATAATTCTTGTTTAAATAAATCAAGTATGTTCTTATAGTTATAAGGCCATACAAACTTAATAAATTGTTCTCATAACATGAAATTTTTGAAAGTGACCGGCAACTCGGCTTTTAGTTTTATTTTCAAAAAACTTTATACAGTATATAAATGCACATAAAATTTTTTATAGATTTTTTAGAAAAACTCACCCGGATAGTAAATATACTTAAAATTTTTTTTAAAGTTTTGTAAAATTTGACCCGGCCGGTTACGAGAACCAATTAATTAAGTTTGTATAGCCTAAACAACATAATTATAAAATTTTAAGATTATTTGTTTGATTTAATTTTTTATAAACAGCAATTATTTTTTGGGGTTCGGGATTTGTTCCAGCAAGTATGCTTGGAGTGATGCAAAATTTTGCTTAGTGAAAATGTCATACAGGGTACTATTGTCAGCGCTGTTATAGTATATCTTGTAAATTTAAATATGGTAAGATCTAATTGTAATTTATTTATCCGAAAAAAAAAGAGTCAAATACTTACATTTCTAAATCTTGATAACGTCTTTGCAACATTTTCATCAATTAAAGGTTGTTTGTATACTGTCTTTTCAATTTCGCACCAATCTTCGTCAGTAAATAATTTTTTTGTTTCCAAATCACTTAAATCAATTGTCCAGGAATGAATAAGAGACTCGGTTGACAAAGAGATTCCCTCATGAAAAAGGACATCTTCAACACATGTGCCCGAAGGCAATATCCACTTCTTAGATTTATTCATTTTCGCATAAAATTCCATAAAGTACTTTCTATTTAATGAAAGTAATAATGGTGCGGGTTTTGCATGGTTTTTATCACTAAAAAAGAATTTAGAAGAAATTTGTGAATCTTAGAAAAAAAAAAAATACATTAAACATCATACAATACATTAAGGCGTACACCGATTCTGAATCTTCATTTTCAAAATCTTCGTATTCAAATGACTAAAAAGATTGTTAGAGATTTCAAAGTTAAAAAGATTCAAAACAACGTATATTGAAAGTTTTAATTATATATACAACTTTAATTTGAGAAATTGCGAAAAAATCATATAGTTATTAATTAATTATTTAAGTGGTGAAAAAGCTTGATTAATTGAAAATAAAGCATTCACAATAATTTTGATTTAAATATGCGGCACACACAATTTCCAATATAGATAATTGTTATTTATACCTTTTCCTCTTTGCTTTGATTACTAGAGACAAAGGATGGATTTATTTTTTTCTTATCTAACTTTGATTTTTGCAAATTTTGCAAAAAATCGTTGCCTGATCCTTGTCTAGAAGAACTTGATTGGAAAAAACTGCCGATTTCATCCAAGTTCTATAGAAATACGAGGTTGGTATTATACAATGTAATATATATAATATTGCTAGTACTATAAACTTACATTAAACTCTAAATCGGATGATTCTATTTCGTCTCCTGCTCGACGTTTGTTTTTATGATAATTCACGTTCTTATCGGTATTATTTGTGTAAACTGAGACCTAGATAATAAAAAGAATTATTACAAGACATCATACTATATAACATTTTTGACATGCAAACTTATACTAACCTCTGAATTAAATGATATTTCTGATGGTTCATTTGTATTTATTGTTTGATGTTTGTTTTTATGATCATTAATGGTCTCACCAAAATCATTCGGTTGGATTAATGCCTAATAAAGAGAAGAATTTATTACTTAGGCATTATTTACTGGAATAAATCTACGCTAATTTGAATACATACATTATTTCTATTTATATTGACATTCTCGTCATCCCAATCCTACGAACAAAAAAAATTAGTCATGAGCTAGGATATAAAAATAATAAACATGAACTTACGATGTAAATATTATCTTTCCGATTCATATGATCTTGTTTTTTTGCTATTTGGAAATAACTTCGTGTTTTATTGATGATGGTGGCTCTTTGCTAAATAAGATATTAATATAAATAAAAAATGCTTCAAGCAAGCATATAATATAATAGTTTCAATACTTGCCTTTGCTTCTGATCTTACTATCTTGATTAATGTATCCCCAATAGTTTTCAGGCGCTTTGCTTGCTGATATGATCATTTGAAGTAATAGATTAGATGATGTTAGATGACTTCTATCAAATATAATAAAAAATGGATGTCCCTTACATCTTCCTGTTCATAAATCTTGCGGGTATAAAGAACGACCTTGCGATTGATTCCTTGGATTGTAAGAATGTTATTAAGACTTCGGTTATAAATATCCAATATTTTTTGTGATGATATATTAGGATTCATGTCATAAATAAACTTTGTAAAGCGATCAATTTGATTCCATTTCGATAAGCGTATCTTGGAGAAAAAGCGGCTAATGCTTGAATATGGTTCACAGAAATTTGTATCGAGTTTGAAGTTATTAATTTTTTCCATCTTTTTTTTTCAAAATTGAATTGGTATGTTAGTTTACTGTATAAATATATACGCATAAAAAATATTTTTTAATAGCTCTCATTCAGGTTAAGTTTACAGTCGCCAGTCAATGTGGTTGAACACATGAAAGTTCTAGGCAAACCCGACGTATATGTTTCATGCTGTCCCTTTCGTGTTGAACGATTAGGCAGAAGAACAGGTCCTCCTAGACACAAGACCGCACTCTCCCAAGCGCGAACTCTTTCCGCTGACCTCCCTTCTTACGCGTATGTTGAATACGGAAGATTCACACGTAAACCCTGGGGTATTAGGATCCAGTAGCCTGTGTGTCCAATCAAGAAATCCGGCCCTTCGTGTTGAACTCTGGCCAGGGCTTGATGGTTCCCGTGCAACAATCGAGGCGCGTGTATATATATAGATAATAATATTAACGAATACTTTCCTCTATTTTTTTTTTTTAACAATATAGTTTCGGTTCAGGTAGCAGTAAACGAACTGGTAGTGGCAGCTGAACGAAGTCTTCCTCTCTTCCTCTTCTATTTATACTTTAATATGAAAGTGTACTTTAATATGAAAGCGTTGTAAAACTAGCCATCTATTCAGTGTAAAAAATTCGAATTTAAATTATGTGCGCTTACCCGGTATAAAATATTAAATATATATTTTTTTCTATTTCACACGTGTTTGGATTCTATGTAGGATCATCGCTGATTGGCTGTTTCCTTTTTAGGGGTTTTAGGGTTTACTCGTGAAAATAAACTTGGAAATGATCTACATGCTGCATAAATTATCTTCTTGATATTTACATAAGCCCCTAACTATTACTGCATCAAGAACATAACCCTAACTGCATCAAAAAAATAATTCTAACGCACCTGGCTTTAACGTTCCCGGTTTTTGGCTGACGTAAATCAATTGCCCGGGTAACTAATTTATACAGTTTAAAGTACTTTTTCAGTTCACAATTTTACTTACGAAATTTTTTTTTTTTTTCATAATTAGGTTTGCCCTTCGCTATACAAAATAATCACAAAATAATCATAAAAACAAAGGACTTAGAAGCGAAGTTATTATGTGCATTATTACATTTTGCAATTGGTTAAACGTAAGTAAAACGGATATACAAGCACAGTACTGATTGCAAAAAAATAGTCGAATAAAAAGAACGATCAAGGTGTTTAAGGCAGGGATGGTAAATGGCCCGGTCATTTGATCAAAATTTAAATGACCCCAAGTCATTAATATTGACTAGGTCGTTTGGGTCATTTGCATATAAAGTAATTTTATTGATTGAATTACTCATAAAAAGTTATCGTACTTTATTACTTTTCTAATCGATATATTTTAAAATTATAATTTTACTGTCATTTAATATTTATGCCTTAAGTAAAGTTGTTCGGGATAATAAATTGTGCGTATGTTGAAATTTTCAATGTAAATTAAATACCATTTTATTAATTACTAAATACCATTTTATTAATTACTTTCGCATATTACATTTACATGAACAAATTTGATTTTTTTTTCATATAAACGTAAGATACGGAAGTAATTAATAAAAGATATTTAATTTACATGAAAATTTCAACATACACGCAATTTATTATCCCGAACAACTTTGATATATAGCTACAATTATTGATTATATTTTTATAAATTTTAACTTTGTTTGGTTGCCAATTCTGATTAGTTAAAAGGTATTAGAATATTAACTAACATATGTTAAATGACCTAAGGTCATTTGGCCTTGAAATGACAAATGACCAGTCATGTTTCATTTAGCATAGCGGGCTTTATTATGATTGGTTGATTTTGAAGATCATCTCATCATATTAAAGTCTTATTAAAGTAACGA